TGAAAATAGATCCACCTTTGCCCAATTCATTCTGTCTCCTGGAAACCTCCTTCCCCTTTCTTTCAAGTCGTCCACTGTGACTCTTCAGCTGTTAAGTTGGGATAACGCTGGCTCCAGCTTTGCAGTCGTCAGAGAACAAGTCCTGTCCAGCATCCTCCGCATCACAGTGGTACTTTCCACAAAAGAACAACAGGAATTACAAAGTCCATCATAGCAGGAATATTCCTCTTTATTCCCATAGGAAGCATCACAAGTGTGGCCTGAAAGAGCACAGCTCTGTCAGCTCCACGCAAGGAAAGGCAGCACCGTCTGGTAATCAACTGGGGGGCACCTCAACGTCAAACAAGTTCCCTCCTCAGACGCCCACGGGCACCACAGGCTGCTTAACAGAGCCTGAGCTTAGGAGCCAGCAGAGTTGGTTGGTCTCTTCGTAAGTCACTGTTGAATGGCCCTTCAAGAAGGTAAAAACAGGCATTTTACCCAACTCTAAGTGATGCTTCTGAAATACAACCACAGAGGGCCTGATCCTCCGCTACTGTGTATTTGCACCAGCGCAAAGAGAAGAGGATCTGGGAGATCCCCACATCAGAACGATACCAGCATCGTAAGACAAAATTCTTCCCTTTTCTTCCCAAGCAATCAATCCATCAACATGTTAAAAAAAAAAAAAACCAGTTTAATGTAGGTGGCATGTTTCATACAGAATTTAACAGGCACCCAAAACACCAGCTGGTGCCATGTTCTGAAGAGTTAACAAGGTGAAACTCCAGCACTTCAGTCTCGTTCATACATTCACAGAGTAAACAACAGGCCAAGGCAGCTTTGCTACCGCACGTACCCTCACGCTCGATATCAAGTCTGCGCGGCACAGTCGGAGCCCCTCTGGCACCCGAAACACCTGGAAAGCTCTGGAATGAGCACGACGCACGAGGAAACTTCTCTGAAGGGGCTGGCGTGGCTCTGGGATGGACACACTCTCTCAAATCAGTGTCTCTAGTATTTTTCCTAATTGCTCCTGAGACCATTTTTTAACCCAGCAAGTATAACAGCAATATTTAAAGGGCAAATGCGGAAAGAAAAATAGCAAAGACAGGGAACACAAGAGCTGCTCCCGCTGTTCGGGATGGAATCGGCATGAAGGAATGCTGAAATGAAAATTTCAAACGTTTTAGAGCTATAGCCATCTATATAGAAAGAAGGGAAGACTTAACCCATTTTGGAGCCTGAGCCTTTCCTCCCAGCACCAATGA